CCAACAAACTCATGGTTGGACGGCTGAATTATGTCCAAGTTGCGGCCCTCGCAATCGATTTCAAGCTCGTGCACAAAGCCCTGAAACTCACTTGTTGAGCATGTCATTCAAGACGACCATGTCCGTCAGGTCCCAGAACCCGCCGCGAATCAGCTGCAGGTCCATGGGCGCCGCGGCCAGCGGCTTGCGCTCCAGGTACCGCATGTTCACCTCAACCGCCCCGTCCTTCCAAGTCTCGACGTCCGCGTAGAACGGGCCCAGGTACCGCGCCGGCAACTCCTTGCAGCGCAAGCCCGTCCCAGCATCCAGGCGCGCGCTATCACACTTGGCAAAGACAGCGTTACGCTTGGGATCGGCAATGACGAGGATGTCCCGCGAGCCCTCGTGGACGTTCCCCGAATAGCACGGCTCGCTCCGGTCGTGCCAGCTGAAGTTCAGAGAGCTTGCTGACACGGAGCCCCTGCGGTACGCCGTCGGATGCAGGGTCTGGACCAGCTCTGTACACCTCTGGGCCGTGTACGCGCTCGCTGTCGTGGCGTTCTGGTACCGAAAGTGCTCGGGCCAGGTACGGGGGCGTCGAGGCTCGGCTACCGCGTCCGGCAGGCTGGTCGGCACTTGAATGATCTGGACGTGTTCGTCCAGCCAGGTGATGCATGCATCGGCGTACGGCTTGCTCTCGTCCAAGGGGATGAGGCGGCTGCGGGGGGTTGCGGGCTTTGAACAATACGGGAGCCGGATCCCCCGGTTCCTGGTGTACACCGACTGGTCGATGAGCTCGGTGTACTGCGGGGGCAGGCGCCGGGGGAGCTCCCTGGCGAGGTGCCCCGCGCCCTGATGGTCGGCGGGTGCAGCTAGGTTGGAGAGGAAGACGAACTGGGGGAAGTGGGTCGAGACCACCAGGTGCAGGCTGAACTTGCCGCCGGGCCCGTAGTCACAGAGGAGCCAGTTGAAGGACTCGGAAGGAAGCTCGATGTTGTAGTCCTCCTGGAAAATGGCCGCCTCAAAGGCCTCGATGACCATCTCTAGCGTCACTCCCTCCGGCAACCCCCCATCTCTCTCTAGGTCCAGATAGGGCTTGCACGCGCACCCAGCCTTGATTGCCTCTTCGAGGTGTTGCTGCCCTTCTTGAAAGGGGTATGCGGTGGGCCAGCCGGGGTAGGATCCAAACTCTCGGGAGGGGCACAGGCGCCGAATCTCCACCGAATGACCGAGGACCTCGCCGTAGCGTCTGCAGAAGCCCTGCGGCCCATCCTTGGGGTCTCTATAACTGACCGGCTCCTCCGTGAACTTGCGCTTTGCAAAGGAGGAAGGTGCCCAACTCCGCCTTCTTGACCGTGAACAGCTTGCCGTCGTGCTCGCTATGGACGACAATGGCGCCGTCTTCTTCGAGCTGACGTTCAGCAGACGAGGCCTGCATGACACGAGATTTGCACACATTCATGGGGTGCGCGATTGATGGGCCACGCGCACACACTCAGCAAAACCACAGGATGGCCGGCCTCTTGCGAGGACCTTGGCTTGAGGAGGGATTCAAGAGCTCAAAAGATGATTTCAAAAAGAACGATCATGCCTTGTTTTACCGAGAAGGCACAAAGATGGATGTGGCCGGCCATTGAAATTGGAATGAACCCTGTGAACACTTGCCGTGGCAAAAAGGCAAATGCTTTGCCCAAAAATTTACCGGTGTGGCCCCAACCTGCGGAGCACGTGGGAGCGAAAAGGCGCCAGAGTCCACGACCAGCTGCTCGGAAAGGGCAGCCTGTCTGGTCGACGCTCCTCTCTAAACACCCGTGCTGCTCTCCTGCAAAAACGTTGTGAACAGTGCATGAGTGCGCGGAACCTAGAGAGACACACAATGGCACCCGGGAGAGGCACGAAAGCTGCACCCAGTTGGTCTGGACACATCGATTGGGGGGCGGGGGTGATTGTGGACTGACTTAGGGATATCACTCGCGAGCAATAGAGTACAGATTCCAGGTGGTCAGGGTCGTTTGTGAAGGGGGTGCTCGTTGACTGACTTAGGGGGAAGCTGCAAACAGCAATAGGGCAACGAGGATGGGCTACTCCACAAGCTTCGCGGGTCAGTTCGCCCTGTTAAGGGCCCTGACTGCTGATGAGAGCGCCATTTTAGAGACGCTCTACGAGCACTTCCACGAGCTAGAGGAGCCCTTGCCTTATGCGCCCGCTGGAGAACGCCCTGTAACAATCAAACGCACACTCTAGAACCGGACATACTCTGGGGAGGAGCGCGGCAAGAAGTTCTCCTCGTACTACGGCCAGTGGAAGCTCTCTCCCGACGGAACAGCTCTTTTGTGGGACGGAGAAGAAAAGTTCTACTCTTATGTTGGCTGGTTGGAGTACCTCATTTCACACTTCTTCGCCCCGTGGGACGTGAAGCTCAGCGGAACCGTTTGGTGGAAAGGCGACTGGCGAGGCGACCGAAGGGATAGAATCATCGTGAAAACCCCGAGATCCAAGGGACCCAGAGGCAACTAGGTTGTAGCAGATCAAAAACTCACTCGAACAGGTTGGCCCAGTCGCAGGCCTCGGCCCGCACCGCTACAAGACTGAGGCGCGCCCGTCAGATTGTTGAGACAGCCAGTGACCTGGGACCCGGCGGCTGGGGAGGCAGGCGCAAATGGCTGAGCAGAAGGCATGGACTGGTCACCAATGTCCTGCTGTGGGGTTGCTGTGAGGAGGGACGTCCGTCCAAGCTGCACATGCATAACATGATGTAAGAGGCGGGTAACATTCCTTCAAGTGCTGATTCGGAGTGGCAACATCCACTTCTTCGTCAAAGCGCCTCGATCTGATGCATGATGGCAACCCCTGCCTCATGCCCCCATTTCAGAGCCTTCCTTATTTGAAAACGGCCTTGAAGATGCATTGCAGAAGGATCATAGATGGGATGGATCGCATGACTTGCAATCAATTAGACCACACCTTGCACATGACTCTGTGTGGCAAAAACCGAGTTTCCCAAAGAATCATTGACAAGGTGTGGTCCAAGGCCGATTCTGCTCTGCCACTTGCTTCTTTATTCCTGGGATGGCCAGCCTGACGTACTGTTTCGTGGACCACACCTTGCCAATGGTTCACGGGGCAAAAAGTGACTTCCCTAAGAATCATTTACAAGGTGTGGTCCAATGCCAAATAACACCTTCGTGCCACTTGCTTCTTTATGCCTGGGATGGCCAGCTTGACGTACTGTTCGGTGGACCACACCTTGCCAGTGGTTCACAGGGGCAAAAAGTGAGTGTCCTAATCATCATTCGCAAGGTGTGGTCCACAAGACACGAACTGCTTGCCACGTGCTTCTCTATGCATGGGATGGCCGGCCCGACGTACCGTTGGCTGCCCAGCTTTTGGATGCGCACGTGGCACGATCACGCATCTTGCGAACTCATTCTCCAGACGCGAGTTGTCATCAGAGTCCATGTCGAAGTCGTCCCACCGGCCATAACTGTCTTCCTCAGGCTCTGATAGCGAGCTGCCGGCGGCGGCTTCAGCCATCAGCTGATCAGCGGCAGCAACCCCGAGCTCTTCATCTTTGCGGCATGGCTTCGGCACGGATCTGGGATACCAACTTCAGATGAGGACCCTGGCGATGAGAGCACCACCCGGGACGGGCGCCCAGTCCGAAGCGAGTTGAATGCCCTATTTGGAGCCCGCCGTTTAAAGCGCCCCCCCAGGAGTTGGGATAGAGACTCGGAATCAGAGGACTCCATTGCTGCAAGCTGGCCGGCCGTAATGACAGGGTTCTCTTCCGCCTGGCTTGCATCGTCGATTATTGCGCGGTCCTGTGAAGTCTCTTCATCCGAGGATTCCGCCGCGCTCTTAAACTCTGCCTCCTCGATGTCCCCGCCATCCCCTTCAGACTCTGAAGCCTGCGACTCGTCATCGCTGGCGAGGGTTGAATGCTGATGGTGCTCAAGTTTGTCTGTTGCCTGCAGAGAAGGACATGTTGTTCGACATGTATAGATTGAGCGGCCCCGTTGAGCAACGTGTCGGCAAGAGTGTCAGCAGCATCCGCGGGATTGACTGGCTGAAGGTGGTATACCATCCCTTTTAAGAAAGCAGTCCCTTCATCCGTCCGCACAAGTCGACAATTTCCTCTATCATGAACCGAAACCTCCTGACAAAGATCTAAGCGATGCTTCCTTGAACTAAACATTGCACCTTGTGAGCAGGCTGGATTCGGTTGCCTAGTTAAAAGGAGGGGGCACGTGCCTTTCCAAGCCTGCAAGACGGAGCCACTTGCTCACCGCTTCTCGAAGCCGGCCTACTTGCTCTTCACCAGAGTCGGAGCTTGACGACGACTGGGACAGGATGACTTTGCGCCTTTGCTAAGTGCGACGGTCTTCATCTGAGTCATCGACGATCCTGCGGGGCCTGCGCCGTCTGATCCCTCCCAGCTCTTCTGACACCTGTCCAGGTGATCCCCTGGGACCACGCTCTCCGACTGACACCTGTAGAACATCCTAGCAAGTCGGTCCAAGCGAAGAAGCATCCGGAAGGTAAAGAGCTGCGACAAGGGCCTTCACTTTGTTTGTGTGAGCAGCCCCATGCAGAAGTCGGGAATTACAAGGCTCTGACTACTGTTCAAGCGCCTGCCTGATCAGAGAGGATATGACAAGCATGTTGGTCCGGCCCACAGCTTGTCCATGGTTATTATGAAAGTCACTCTTTGCCGCTGTGAAGCATCTGCAAGGTGTGGTCCAGCCAATCCAGCCAATAAGCTTGACCAGCCATCCCATCGAAAAGAAGCAAATGGTATGCACAAATTGGGTGTGCCCTTTGTGGACCACACCTTGTCAATGGTTATTACGAAAGTCACTCTTTGCCTCTGTGAACCATC